ATAAGACTGCTTCTGATATCTGCAAAGAATTTCCTGTTTATTCATTTCTGATGAACCGAATGCACTTAAAACAGCTTTGAAAAGCTGAAATTGTTTTTGTCAAACCATTTTCAACATGAAAGTGGCGCATTTTCAAACAACTTTTTTCGTTTTCTCTATTTATCATTGTTTTATTAAACTTTCAAATTGCTACGCAAGTAAGGGACGTTTTGACTAGACAGAAAACCAATTCAAGATATCAATAATGTCATTCTGACTAGTCTTAAATAGAAAAGCTGTGTAATTCAAGATCTCTAATTCATTTAGAGATATCTTAAAAAATAATTCTGACTAGTCAAAGTTACAATTCAAGATATCTTTAATTTTCACAAGTCAAAACTTCATTTCTCCTATCCAAAAATACATTTAAGATATCTTGAATTATGGAGTCATTAGAGATATCTTCAATTAGAATTATGACCAGTCATAATTTAATTGTAGATATCTGAAATGTGTATTTCATATAGTCAGTAATTCATTGTAGACATCTTGAATTGAAGTCTCTAAAATAGTCAATGGTAAATCTGACGTCATTTTGACTAGTCAGAATGAAACTAGAGACATCTTAAATCGCTAAAACGTTTAGTCACAAAACAATTTGAGATATCTGGAATGTAAGGGCGGTAAAACAGAATTTATGTTACAACGGCTTGCCATACTAGCTGGCTAAAGACTTTTATGAAACGTAGAACAAGAGCGACGCCAAGCGGAATAAACTAAACTTTGTCTCACCCTCATCATGTCTTTGTCAAGCCAAAGCCTGCAGTTCATGTGTTGGATAAATAATGAAATGCTGATGACATTTTAAAAATGAATCCTTCATGCAGCCCAGCCTCACCCAGACTCTGCCTCCAGTGGCCCCTGGGTAAATCGAGTTTGAGGCCCCGGGCCTATAGAGACGGTTCTGAAGCTCTTGAACCGTTTCTGGATTTTATTTTTCTACCATTTAATGTTTTTATTTCAGCTCATTTTTATTGTTGATTATTAACAATATTTAGTTTTTAAAATGTGAAACCAGAAATGACCTTTGACCCGACGTATGGACAGATTGATGCAGGTTTATTTTCCTCATCGGAAGATCAACCGTCAGTACCTGGCGGTTGCCATGGTTACTCACTTGAACATCTCGGTGAGCTCGCCCTTGCAGAGCGCCACGACGACGGGGAAACCGACGCAGGCGGGGACGAGGTAGAGCAGGGCGGGCTGCAGAGAGAGAGAGAGAGTCAGGAACCCGGTTCCACTGACCCGGTCCGATTCCGTGGTTCTGATAAAGCTTCCCGGACATCAGACGTCTGGCCCCGCCTCCTACCTGTGCGTGTTTGAAGGTGTGCATGACGAAGATGGTGAGGCCCAGACCGAAGATGTAGGCCAGGAAGCTGGAGTAGAAGTACGTCCTGCTGTTCTTCTTCAGGCTGTGGACAGACAGAGACATGAGGACACGAGGACGGGTCGGGACAGGTGAGCGGAGACGCCGCGGAGGGAGAGCGGGCGGCGCCGGGCGCTACCTGACGTCGAAGCGCAGCAGCAGGGCGATGAAGATGCCCGGGATGACGATGTCTCCCAGTCCCAGCATGGCGAAGTTACTGGCCTCCAGTCCTTTCTCCAGTAAGTCCTGAGGAAACACCACTGGGAGACAGAGACTCGGGTCAGAACCAGAGCCGCAGGAAGCAGGAAGTGCTCTGAAACGTCGACTCACGTTTGATCGGTGCCTCGAACGACTTGGCCACCGTTACCATGACGTTGGTCCCAAACACCTGGAGACAATATTTACTAAATATTGTGTTTATTGTAATTTTCCTTAAATGTATTTTTATTCTGAATTTTACATTTTTAAAATTATTTTTAAATAATTTGTAATTAACGTAATTTTATTTAGAATTATTACGTAAATAAAAGTACAATAAACATATTTTCTTAATATTTTTATAATCCTATTTGACATCTTACTAAAAAATGTTAATTATTGAATTTCTCCAAATATCTTCCTGGTCTGAACACATCTTTACATCCTGTGGTGCGTTCACTGACCTTCAGTAAATCAGAGACTCAGAGTGAGAGCTGCTTCTTTGCACAGCATTAAATTAATCTTTAATCTGTTTTATTGAATTAACATTTAAAAAGTTTAATCGTCTTAATGCAAAAATCATTTCTACAACGCAAAGAAAAAAAATGGTGTATTTTTATTTTGAAAAGCACACACCACTTCCTGTACCATGTAAGTAGGATTCTCACCCAGAAGACGTCGTAGATGAACAGCCCCCCCAGCAGGATGCAGCCGGTACTGACGTTGTTCAGGTGCAGCAGCTCCACCCCATTCAGCGCGAACGCCAGGCCAAACACGTTATTGGCTATCCAGTGCTGTTATGTCACAGAAACAAGCGCTGTGATTGGCTGAGAGCGCAGCAGGCCAACAGTGGGAGGTGAGTTTACCTTTTTGAGCAGGTACCAAACCCCGACCACGCTGCTGAGGACCAGACACACCAGGTTCTTGGTGTCAAACTCATAATTCACTATTTCTGGAGGCAGAAAGAGAATCTGTCACATTTTGCTGGAAGAACGTTGATTAAAAAAATAACAGAAAATACAGCAACTTCCTGAAACTCCTGAAGCCGAACTGACGGATCAGAACCATCAGAACCGCCTGCAGCCGTTTAACAGAAACTTCTCTGGGTTATTTCACCGTCAAACTCTAAACATCTAATTTATCAACCGTAGTGCAGGTGATACTGGGAGGTCCGATTCAACCTTCATCAAACGGTCTGGAGGTGTTCAGACCACAGGAACCAGGCCAGTGATTGGCGGTTCTGGAACACCTGAACCGCAGACCTGGTTCTGTCTGGCGATCCGATGGTCTCACCTTCTTTGGACTCTCCAGAGCCCTGGGTGAACAGCAGCTGGTACTGCTTGTTGGGGAACGACTCTGGGAAGATTCTGGCCATGGCAGGACTGGAAGACAGACACGGAATTAGACGGGGAGGCAGCAGCGCTGGTGGACCCGATCCCGGTTCTGACGGTACCTCATGGTGTGGGACAGAGCCAGGACGCCCAGGACGAAGAAGTACACGGACAGCAGCAGGTTGATGTATTCCTGGGAGAACACCTGCAGGACGGAGCGCGCTCAGTGAGAACCGGCCGACCCGGCAGCCGAGCAGAACCGAGAGGTCCGAACTCACCTTGAAGAAGAGGTAGAGTCCGAACAGCGTGCAGCTGGCGATGATGGGGAACCGGGCCGCATCCCGGCTGGTGATGGTCTCCGGGGCGTCGGCAGAGTTCTGGGAGGAACACGGACAGGATGATGGTCTGAGCAGAACCGGATCAGAACCAGATCAGAACCCAGCAGCTGCAGGACTGGAGTCCTTCAGCTGGATCTGGACCTTCAGCACCGTTAGAACACGGACATGAATCCAGAACCTGCAGATGGATGTGGAGTTCTGGCTCCTGGGTGACCTCTGACCTCACAGAGGATTCGAGTTCGGATCCGGCTACGTTCTGTTCCGACCCGTCTCTGGAGACGCAAACTGGGTCAGAAGAGCCGGAGGAGGGATTCATCAGAACCATCTGCTCTCAGCCGGGTCTCAGAACCCGCTGTGGATCCAAAGGCAAAGAACGGTTGGTTCTGAAAAACCCGGTGAGACACTCAGGCCCGGCGCCGGCCGGGGAGTTCAGGACAAACAGAACCAGGCAGAACAACGTGCCTCAGTCCAGAACCCACAGCAGAACACGTCAGCCAGTGTTAGAACACAACAGAACCACCACAGTGGACCGTTAGCTTCAATCAGAACCGGTTCTGGATCCATGGCGGTTCTGATCCACATGCAGACCAGAGAGGACGATGATGGAACATCTAGAACCCGGCCAACCGCTGGGCCGGAACCACCTGGTACCGAGGCGCAGCTGGAGTCCAACATGGCTGCCAGGCGTTTCAGGAACTAGCTTAGCATAAACTGACTCTTCTTCTACTTCTTCATTTAATATTGGGTTTTATTTTGAAGGACACTTCCTGTTTACGCCGTCGGCAGCCATGTTGGAAGCTACTGGGTCACACTTCCTGCTGAACAGAGCGGTTCCGGTTCCGTCAGTCTTGCTCCAGAACCAGCAGCTCATCTCATCCCTGATCCAGCATGACGACGGAATGGGTTCCAGAATCTTCAGAACCTGATCCAATCCACCAGAACCAGAGTGGCCTCATCAGAACCCAGTCCAGTTCTACAGAGATGATCCAATTATCTGGTTCTGGTGTTTAAACAGCAGCTTCTGTAAGCCTCCCTGGTCCAACCTGGACCCAGTGGAGCAGAACCACCGGAACCACCAGAACCTGACCACATCCTGGAGCAATAAGTCAGCCGTTTGGTTCGGCCGGGTCAGAACAGGGACACACCAGTCTGTCCTACTGGGTCGTGGTTCTGGCCCAGAAATGGAACCACGACCAGAACTAGAACTGGGTCTGAACCAGAACTGGGTCGTGGTTCTGACCCAGTAGAACGTCAGACAGGTTCATGTTGTGTTTGTGCCGGAACAACACAGCGGTTCGGTTCTGATACTCACTCTGAACCCAGAGTCGTACCCACCGTCTCCGAGTTCCTGCAGACGGATGCAGAGACAAGATGGCGGACAGACAGACAGAGAGAGAGGTCAGAGGTCAAGTTGCAGACTGACAGGAGCCTGGAAGATCAGCTCGTTAAGAGAAACAGGTGATGAAGATTAACAGTTAACAGCAGGAAGGAAGTCATGTGACACCAACAGCACAGCGGGTCCAATCAGCTCCCTGGAAGCTGGGAGCCAATCAGAAACACAGAGGGAGGAGCTTCAGTTGGTTTACAAACAATAGATGAGCATCCAACCATCCATCCAACTGTCCATCTATCCATACATTCAACCATTTACTCATCCATCCAACCATCCATTTTGGACTTCTCCACTCTTGCATCCCAGAGGTCAGAGGTCAGGAGGAAACCCGTCCATCCATCTCCAGGTTCCTGGAGGATCTCTTGATGTTTCCAGACTGAACTGGGTCTTCAGTTCCTCCAGGAAGTTCTGGTTCTTCCTCAGGCCTCCTCCAACCAGTTCACAAACTTTCACCATATTTAATAACTCATTTTAAAAACTCACTGCAGTTTCAGAACCAACTCCGGTTCTGATCCAGATGAGGCTCACCAGCTGAGAAACAGTCCAGCTGGAGGCCATTAAGCAACACCCCACAGCATGATGCTGCCACCACCACCCAGTCCTGATGACCTGGGACGAACTCCAAGCACCAAGAAGACAGCAACGGGTCAGCATGGGTCAGAATCTGGATCAAGGTTCTGCTGAGTCCAACCCTGAGACGAACCTGCCGTCACCTGGCTGCAGGTGAACATCTGGAGTGAACACCTGCTCTAACGGAATCCGGCCGATCATTTTATTCCCTTTAACAACATTTTATCTCCGTTCCGTGATGATCTATGAGCCGCTGCCCCTTCAAAGACTGAAGCCAATAAACAGTCAGAGCGCAGTTAGCAGGGGATGCTAACCGGCGGAAGCTAGCGGTTCTACCCCACCCCGGTCCCCCCAGAACCAGCCGGTTCGGACCGCTGCTTACCTTGGACTTGGAGCAGGTGACAGACCGCAGGGCTCCGAAGAAGATGGGCAGCAGGGCCATGACCACCAGGCTGCCGTAGGCCAGCGCCGTTCCCTCCGGGGTGGCCACGAATTTAGCCGTGGCGTTCAGCACCTCGGTCCCGTTGGAGTCCGTGGCGTTCGGGACGGCCGCGGGGACGGGTTCTGCCATGGCGGTTCCGGATGGAGGTTCTACAGGGGAGCTGCTAAGGATGCGGCGGGAACTGACAGGCGGAGACAAGAGGGATCTGACGCTGCGGGAGGCTCATTCATCTACCGGAGCAGCCGAAACCTCAGTAAGGCCACGTTTCCTAAAGCAGAGAGGGGCGGAGGACAGCAGAGGACTCACTCTGATGCGTTTCTAGCGTCTCTAAGGCCACGTTTCCTAAAGCAGACCCCAGAGAGGGGCGGAACTGAGGAGAGGGCTCACTCTGATGTGTTTCCTGAAACAAGATAGTTCACTGTGGTAGTGTGTTTTTTTTTGTTTTTGTTGTTACCGTTTAAAGTCACTTACTGGTGTGGAGTGTGACTCAAAATATCTATTGTTAAATCTACATATATGATCAGTTTTCAAATGTTATTGATCATCTAAAAAAAAATGTAAAAAAAATGTGAAACGTTTTACCTTCTGACTCTCCCTGTAATATATATTAAATTAAATATTTTATAAACGTAGTATATCCCTCCAACATAGATATTCTTCTGCACTCTTGTTTCCTGAAGCGAACCAGAGGGCTCACTCTGATGCGTTTCCTGAGTCTCAGTAAGGCCACGTTACCTAAAGCAGAGAAAGGCGGAGGAAAGAAGATGGCTCACTCTGATGTGTTTCCTGAGGCAGCAGAAGAAGTAGATGGAGTTTTATTCTACCTCCTAATTTTAATAAGCAACGTTTTCTAATACAAAGAGATGAAGCGACTAGAGGTCTCACTCTGCTTTGTTTCCAGAGTTTGGCTAAATGTCATCCATCCATTTTCTGTCCACCCTTGTCCCTAGTGGGGTCTGGAGGGTTGCTG